AACCTGACCTTATGCCATACATGGGCGATAACCAGCCCTTGGAAGCAATTGAAAACAATGTAGCTCATGAAACACTGATACCTTAGTATGCCATGTGATATGCCCAAAGCTACATATTCTGCTGCATTCTGGATCAGTTGCACCCTTTGACTGCTTTTCAAAGGAAGCTCCAAGAATAACAAATTGCAACAGTCCAAATAGAAGGTGATTAAAATGTGAGTAACTATGGAAGAGTTTCCTGATCCAGGAATGAACACAACAGATGCAACTCTGATGTTTACAACTCAGCAGCCCTCTGCTTCACTGAAACTTGACTAAATGAGTCAATTGATGATAGCAGCTTGCATATCCCAGGGCTTCAGATACAGAGGGCAGACAGAATTGCAGAAACATCTGGCAAAAAGAAGGGAGGGGTGGTCTCTGCTTTTATATCAACAACCAATGGCGCGAAAATGTAATTACACTAAAGAAATTCTGTGATGTGGACTTAGAGACATTGATTATCAATTGCAAACTGTTTTATTCCCCACGAGAGTTTTCCTCATTCCTTCTATTTGCAGCATACTTTCCTCCACAAGTTTGCAAAAACAATGCATTAACCTCTAGTTGACCAGATTAAAGAAGAAAAATACCCAGATTCACTCCTCATTGTGTTAGGAGATTTCAACAGTGCTAACTTAAGCCAAGATCTACCAAAATACTTTCAGCATGTCAACTCTCTTACTAGAGACAAGAATACTTTAGACTACTGCTACACAATATTAAAAGATGCTTATTGGTCTTTACCATGAGCAGCTGTGGGACACTCTGATCGTTGTATGATTCGCCTTGTACCTGTTTATAGACAAAGGCTATAAAACCAACAATTAAACCAGGGAAATCTTCGACTGAGGAGGCAAAGCTAAAACTACAGCCTTGCCTTGACTGCATAAATTGGAATGTTTTCAAAGATACCTCTGCAGATTTGGATGAACTCACAGATACTGTAACATCATACGTTAGTTTTTGTGAAGACCTATGTGTGCCGATCAGAAACCTGCGAATATACAGTAATAACAAGACTTGGTTCACAGCTAAACTCAAGCAGCTATGTCGTGCCAAAGAGGAAGCCTAAAGGAAAGGAGATAGAAAGCTGTACAATCAGGCCAGAAATGTATTAACAAGGGAGATCAGAGGAGCAAAAAGAAGCTACTCTGAAAAGCTAAGGAATCAGCTTTCAACAAATGAACCAGCAAATATGTGGAAGACTCTTAAAAATATCACTGGTTACAGCAAACCTTTCCATGCTGAAATGGAATCAACAACTGGCAGATGACATGAATCTGTTTTACTGTAGGTATGAGAGGAAACCACTGTCACCTATCTACCATCTCTATCTCAGATACACCAACTACAGCCAAGCCTCCTACAACTGACCCCGTCCCTTTGGGCCCCGAACCTCTGGTGATCACAGAAAATGGTGTGCAAGGTCTATTTCATAGACAAAAGCCTGGAAAAATACCAGGCCCAGATAAGATAACCCCTTCTTGCTTGAAAACTTGTGCTGACCAACTGGCCCCCATCTTCACCCGCATCTTTAATAAATCATTAGAGATGTATTATGTTCCTTCTTGCTTCAAATGCTCTACTATCATCCCAGTGCCGAAGAAACCCTCCATCAACGTGGATTCGCTGTTAGACTCCTTGCAACTTGCCTACCAAGCAAATAGATCGGCAGATGATACTGTTAATATGGCTCTGCACTACATCCTACATATCTTGAATCTCCAAGGACCTATGCAAAGGTCCTTTTTTTGACTTCAGCTTGGCATTCCAGAATTCTTCTAACTAAACTAATTCAGCTAGTTGTGCCTGATCCTACACTTGTAAATGGATCATAAGATTTCTAACAGACAGGAAGCAACAGGTGAAACTAGGCAAAATCACATCCGATACCTGTACAATTAGCACAGCCCCCCCCCCCCAGGCTGTGTGCTCTCTTTCCACTTCTCTTGTCTCTCTACACCAACCACTGCATCTCAAAGGATCCCTCGGTTAAAGTACTGAAGTTTGCAGATGATACAACAATGATTGGTCTCATTAGAAACAACGACAAATTTGCATACAGACAGGAAGTTGAACTAGTCTTGCGGTGCGGCCGGAACAATCTTGAACTGAATACACTCAAAACTGTAGAAATGATAGTAGATTTTAGGAACCTTCCTATTCTACCATCTCTTACAATGCTAGACAACAGTTGAGACCTTCAGGTTTCTAGGTTCTATAATATCTCAAGACTTAAAATGGATACCTAACATCAAAAATGTCATCAAAAAAGTATAACAAAGAATGTTCTTCCTGCGCCAACTCAGAAAATTATTTGTCTCATCTTTCCTATTATCTATCTCCGTATTTTTTTATGACTATAACTTTGTTGTTTGTATCTTACGGTTTATATTGTTTAATTTAGTATCCTAGTATGATTTATGTTGTTTGCTTATTTAGTATCCCATGACTATCATTAAGTGTTGTGTCTTATGATTTATGATGAATGTATTTTTATGATTGTGATCATGATTTATCATTTGTTGCTTGTATGTACACTGAGAGCTTATGCACGGGAGACAAATTCCTTGTGTGTTTAATCCCACTTAGCCAATAAAGAATTCTATTCTACTCTAAAAAAAAACCATATGCATTAGCTCTGGCTGGAGGAGTATTACCCCATCCAGAGTAAGAGTCAGAGACAGAACATCTCCAGATTGGGGATGCCTTCTAGTAGTGATCTAGAAAAGATGTCTTGGCAAGGAAAAGTTTGCCATATTGACAGCACCATTTTATGAATTTTATTCAGGAATTCATGTGTTCAATAGCATGTGTTTCACTCTGAGAGCGGGCAACTAAATTTCATTTTTGATGTGTGCCGTTGTGCCCCCAGTAAAAAAATGACAATAAAGGTTATCTTATCTTATCTTATCTTATCTTACCTTCTAGAAATAAAACTTATGAAATATATATGTGTGTGTGTGTGTGTGTGTGTGTGTGTATTTTGAATTAGTCCGTTTAAAATGTCCATTTAATCATATTGGACTTTCTCATGACCTTCTACCAGCCTACTATTGAAAGCGTTCTCACACACTGTATTGTGATTTGGTATGCTGGCTTGACAGCCACGGACAGGAAGGTTTTACAGAGGGTGCTGAGCACGGCACAAAACATCATGGGCTGTTCCCTGACACCACTGGATGACATCGCCAGGGCCCGTTGCCTTGGCAGAGTGAGGAAAATTCTCAGGGATGACTCACACCCTGGTTGGTACCTCTTTACTCTCCTACCATTGGGTAGGAGATATAGAAATATATCCAGCCGTACCAACAGGCTGAAGAACAGCTTCTATCCATGGGCTGTCAGGCTCTTGAATGGGACATAATTTTATGCATGATAGACTCGTGAGGCCGGCGTGCTGTGCAATTAGCTCACAGGGGGTAATAAGTTGGTGGGTTTGTAGTCACTGTGAGTTGTGGGGAGGGGGCACAGAGGGAGGCTCAGCCAATCTCATTGTATACATGTTATACTTTGATAATAAAGGTTCATTCACTCTTACTGGTTTTCCAAGGATGACGAAGCAAGTAGGCTTGGACAAAAGGAAGACTCTGTCAGCTTCATCTTCATCATATATATCTACAAACGGGTAAGATTGTTCATCTTCTGGAGATGCCATCATTCAATCTATATTTAAAAGATAGGGTTATTTATTAAGATCACCACTACTTTTTACACCTGCAGCTAATAGCAAGTAGCTGACCTTGGCTGATCCGGAAAAAGAAAAAGAGGGTTGTACCTAGACTTTGAATGGGAGACAATTAGAAAATCCTATGGCTATACAGACTATGCTAAGATCCCCAAAATAATAGTAAAACAAAAATAATAATCCCGAAAGAAAGTAACAGCACACTACTTCTGCAATAAAAGCTCCCTTTTCCCAACCCTGTAGTTTCTACATTGCTGACAAGAAAACCTATGCATCAGTTCAACTAACAGGCACCTACCTATAATCTGTGAGCCTCATAAATATATTGCTGCCATGTGAATTGCAGCAAAAAAAAGCAGTTTGGTAAAGTTTTCCTGTGCAGCCAGATTTGCCAACAGCCTCTTCCTAGAATTATTTATCAGTCCCATGGAGTATAATGACTAATAGTAAATTTGAGCTGTTATTTATTTTTTTTTTTTCAAGTAAAAGCCCTTCTTGAGTGCACTGACCAAAAAGCGAGGTAAAAATATGGTAAATGAATGACACTTCTCCCCCCCCCCCCCCAACAATCACAGAGTGGTACTTCATCCCCAGGGAAGACTTACTGCAGGATGAAGCCAAGCGGGGTTTCGCCGCTTCACTTTGGCAACAGTACGAGATGAAAGCTCCGCTGTGATTTGTGTTCCCCGGTAACCGTGGAGACAATGCCCCGCCTCTTCTCTCCCATGGAATCGCCCCCGCTCGCTTCACCCAATCAACGGTCCCTGCGCGACCCCTCCCACAAAAGAGCCGGTTAACAGCCGAGCGCGAGGGATCCTCCCACCCGTAGAATGCTTTAAGTGTTTCTCAACCTTGACAATTTTAAGGCATGCGGACTTCAACTCCCAGAATTCCACAGCCAGCAATGCTGGCTGTGGAATTCTGGGAGTTGAAGTCCACATGCCTTAAAATTGTCAAGGTTGAGAAACACTTGGTGCTTCGTTAACGGTTTTAAACGTTTTAAATTTAACCGACTTTTAGGGGAATTCTCAGCTTCTTAAGGAGCTGATCCTGGGCGGCAGTTATGTGTGGGTTAAGCGGGCGCAACTGACTTGAAGCCCCAGCATCGGCTTGTAATGTTGCCAACGACGGAATCCCTCGTTCGCCCAGTGGCTTCAGTGAGGGTCGAGGGGCAGCGTTATGCATACCACCCGGGGGAAGTCTCGCTGATTTCACGGAGTCTGATTTCTTGGTGTGAATATTTAAAACTCCTTTCCTAAAGAAAAAAAAGAAAAGAAAGGGGAGGGGGTTATGAAAGCTGAAACGGCAGTAGTGCTCGCAATCTAGCTTCAATGCCTGCGATTTGAATTCTGCCTCAACAGAGTATTAGTCTCGGTGGGCAGGAATCTTAATTCACCCGCGTAGGGTGCTCCTAGGAACAAGAGGGATGAAACTTCATGCAAACGATGATGTGGATTTTCATCCGCGAAGGCTGAAGTCCTTTAGGAAAAAAAATTAAACGAGTAAAACTTGTGTCCTACAAGTGACTACCACCAAAGTAGATTTCCCAGATTCCACTCGCCAATAGCGCGAGCAGAGGATGAAAAAAACAACAACGGGGCGGTTTTGCGCTTTGGTTTACAATCCCCGCTTCAAAATTTCCCCTGTTCCGGGCAAGAACCGGCATCGTGCCCAAACCCAAAATGGCCGCGGCGCCGACAAATCCAATCACGTGGTTTTTTGCGCTTTCCTTAGCTGTCACCCTCTCGCGATCTTGCTCGGTGTTGGCGGAACAGCCGCCTACTCTCGATGGGGAGAAATCCTCTGTTTCTTCGGCTCCCAGTCGACCCTTCCTCGTAGGGTCCCTCGCCGATCGAGTAAAATAGAGAAGAAAATGAGTTCACGCGGCCCGCATTTATCTCGAGCTGTAGCTTAGCTAAGGCCAAGCCTGTCCTCAAAAGGAGGAAGGGGCGTTATAGGACAGGTGGGAGCTTTCGCGGGTGGCTGAGTGTAATCCCCTCTGCTGGGTTACCATGCCTGTGGCAGCTCCGATCATCAGCTCGGTGCAAAAACTGGTGCTGTACGAAACTAGAGCTGTAAGTAACCCCCACAGCGCCCTCTGCTTCCCTACTGTTTTGCCATTGATTGGGGGTCCTTATAGGTTTTGGTCTGAGGAAAGTGGAAGAATCCTGGTTATTCCCATTAAACAGAATAAGTCCCCTAAGTGCAGGTTTTAGTCTGACTGTTGGATTTCTACAGTGTCCAGTCTAGAAGTTTTGTTTTCTGCCTTACAAGGAGCGCAGCCCATTACACCATGGCTGGAGTAATAGGAACTTGCTAATCTATCATTTCCCAATGAATACCTATTAATTACCATACCATACTATGGAGAGCTACGTGGAGCCACTTTTGGAACTGCAGAAAAGTAACCAGGAAAGAATACTGGGATGAGTTGCATTGGCTTGAAGTTGTATTGGATTTTGAGGCCTAGTAAACTGGACAGATAGCTAACTGCAACCTATATATTTAGAGCTAGCAGGTACTAGTGGAAGGACTTTGGCTGTTGTCATACCTAGGTGCAGCTTTGTCAGAAGCACAACTTTTTGCAGTTGTGTTTCCACAAGTTAAGCCAACATGCTTGGTTAATGAGCACAGGAGATTTAAATCTGTCATCAGAAAATGGGAGCCATTTCAAGTTTAGATAATTCGCAGTGTTTCTCAACCTTGTCAACTTTACGATGTGTGGACTTCAACTCCCAAAATTCTCCAGCTAGCAACACTAGCTGGAGAATTCTGGGAATTGAAGTCCACACATCGTAAAGTTGCCAAGGTTGAGAAACACTGTGCTAAGTCTTAAACTTTTGTTGAAATGCCGTCTCAGTGAAGGCAGGGAATAAGATGCTGACCATTCACAGGAATATTTTTTTAGTGAGTCATGCAAAGAGAATCTCAAATCCCTGACTAAATTAAATCCTTGGTCTGATGTAGATAAGCTTTTCTTTAGTCTTATTTTTTTCTCACTGTAGAAAAAATGATGGAAGTCTGCACCAGCTGTTTTTCTCCAGAACAGCTGGCTAGTAGGCAACACGCTCCAGGTGGAGATATTGATCAGTACTATACTTTGGAACATCTGTTGTAAGGAAAGTGAACTTTAGAGTGAATGTTTCAGTATCCATTGAGAATATATCTGCAAACTATGAAGTCTCCTATCTGTTCCATCCTCTTAGATAGCACCTTTCTTGAATGCAGAATTGTTCTGGTATCTGAGCATTCATGATCCACTGCCCAGAATTGGCTGAGCTACTGTACTTGTATTTAAGGAATTAATGCATAACTTTTTGAGAGTCGAAATGGGGCAAGAAAAGATTTTATGGGAACAAAGAAAAAGTGTGATATTAAATTAACAAATATATGTTGGGTAACTTGAGTTAAGATTTCTATCTTATGCAGTATTTTGAATAATGGAAGGATGCAGTTCCTGAAATCTGCTTGGATTTATGTTTTGGTAATGATTGATGTAATGGATACATTAATCTGCTTTTTCAATATCAGGAAATTATTTAAATGTCTTGAAGTCTGCCAGCAGATTATATGTTGGATACTATCTGAGTAATAAACTCCAAATCCATTATTTGGCACAGTTAATGTATGGTAGTTAAAAATATTTGTAGGATTTATATTGAATATCTGATTTCTGGTTTGCCCTCTGAAATAAATCCTCTCAAACTTTGCAAGAGTCTAATCTGGCAAAGGCTCTGCAAGTCTTTAAAATACAGCTTTGCTCCCAGGTGATTTTGGTGAAGTATTTTAGGTACTTCTTGTCTTAATATATATTATATATCCTTTTAAATCTTATAAATAATGACCTTTAAAATTCTACTTTTTTCAGATACAAATCAGAATATTGTCTATGGTTTGCAATAGATAATGGTAATTCTGTAACCAAAAACATCTGAAGAAAATACAGCAGAAATAAGCATCTATATTCAATTTTGTACTTTGTTGACTTTTCATATATATTTTAAAAGTTCCCTGTTGTTTAGCAAAGGCTAGCCTGATAATATTGGAACCCACTTTAAAATGTTTTCTGTTATCCTTTTTAAAAAAGGTTAAGATGATCTTGGGTCATACATCTGTTCAATTAATACAAAATGTTTTCATTTAGAAATTATTATAAGCAATGGTCAGTTGTTTGGCTTTGGCTTTATTTTTTGAATTATTGCTAAATTAGTGCAGATTGAAGGATGTAATAAATATATTTAGAAATGGATCATACTAGAAACAGCGGAAAAGGGAGCCACAGTTTATTTGGGATTATTGTATCATCTGTTTATTTGATACAAATGATTGTATTGTTAAAGCTAAAAATTATACTTAATCCAGGGATTCTCAACTGTGGGTCATGACTGCAATAAGCAAAGGGGGGAGAGGACTAGGCAAAATTGGATGCTGTCAAAACTCATTTGTACTTTGCCTGGTAAGCCTGCAGAAAGGTTCTGCACAATCAATGCGGAGCAAAAGCCAAAATGAGTTTTGAGAGATGATTGTTAACATACTGCTAATGTGCACTTTCCATGCGGAGAGTCAAACAATTGTTTATTTAAGGAATGGCAATATTGCAATGTTGATAACCTCTGGGTTAAACTATAAAGATTCGTCCCAAAGGTGCTTTTTTGAAAGGCAACTGGACTTTCTTTCTTTTTCCTTGAAGATGTTTTGCTTCTCATCCAAGAAGCAAAATTCTTCCCTTCTGACTAAGTGGTGGAGACTGGTTTATCTTCTTTGCAAGAAAAAGCACCTTAGGGCAGTGATGGCGAACCTTTTAGAGACTGAGTGCCCAAACTGCAACCCAAAACCCACTTATGCATCGTCAGGTGCCGGGTGGGTGTGGCCCATTGGGTGGGTGTGGCCCATTGGGTGGGTGTGGCTGCAGTGATAACGGCAGACTGGGTGAGACTAAAAAGTTCAATCAATCAATTCCAACTTTGCAAGATCTTTTTTTTCCCCACGAGAAGTTGAAATTGACTGATTGATTGAACCCTTTTTTTTTTTGTACGCAGCAATGGAGGCCTAAAGCGAAAAGGTTTTATAAAACCCAGCTGAAGGCCTAGGACTGGGGCGACGGTGCGCGTGCCCACAGAGAGGGCTCTGAGTGTCGCCTCTGGCACCCGTGCCATAGGTTCGCCACCACTGCCTTAGGGGCAACCAAAACCTGGATGACTGAGAATCATATTATGTAATCAGTATAGTATAAAATGCTGTGTTTTACAATGTGGGGATTAGTCCTTCTGCATTCACAATACTGTAGGATTCTTACCAGTCAAGATAGTTAGATAATATTTAACTTCTTTTCAGACATGGGCTTTAGTATAGTATGCTCAGCTCTTGTCAAATCTTCCTGTCCTAGGACATTTTATTTTTTTTTAAAAAAAAGTTTTAATAAATAAAGGGAAATACTGTATCTCAGACATGTCAATCTCGTGACGTCACGTGACGTCGCACGACGTATCAGAACTTTTTCCCCATTGCCGGCAATGGGGTGGGCGCAGTTTCCTCGCGACGCATCCGGCCTATGGGCCAGCAGTTTGACACCCCTGCTGTATCTCAAGAAGTGAAATAAGTCCAAGGACAAAGAAGCAGAAGATTTTGCTTTTAAATTTGGGGAGTGTGGCTTACAGGAATAATGTAATATAATTACTTCAGTTAGCCATTGCATTACAGATGGTCCTTGACTTATAACCATTAGTTTAGTGGCCGTTTGAAATTGCAACGGCACTGAAAAAAGTGATTTATGACAGGCTTTCAAACTTAAAATTGTTGCAGCATCCCCATAGTCACATGATCAAAATCCAGGTGCTTGGCAACTGGCATGTACTTATGCACTATCCTGGGGTAATGTGATCACCATTTATAATCTTCCTAGCCAGTTTCCGATAAGCAGAGTCGATGGAGGAAGCAATTCCATCCAGTGGCCTTCCAAGTTTTATTTTGTTGTATCTCCTGTGATATTGAGTTATCTAAAAAAAGAAATTGTTCTCATTATGCCTTTTTGCTACAAGCAATAGCACTTAGACTTATATACCGCTTCACAGTGCTTTACAACCCTCTCTAAGCCATTTACAGAGTCAGCATATTGCCCCCAACAATCTGGGTCCTCATTTTACTGACTTCGGAGGGATGGAAGGCTGAGTCAACCCTGAACCGGTGAGAATCAAACTGCCAAACTGCTGCAGTACTGCATTCTAACCATGGGTTCTTCAGTGCCACCATGGCTCTTCAAGGCAACTAAGTTGCATCATAGAAATTATTTCTTTTCTTTTTTATCTTTCATTTGCCAGAAGGAAATTAATCTATTGCATAGACGGATTAGGGAGAGACCAAATGACTCATCCCTTGGAAGATAGGTGAATGCTGTAGTAATTATAAGCAGCTACATTGGGATATTATCCCCAAATTGGGATATTTGATAGTTACATGCTTTGGGGCTTTACAGGTTTTTTCCTGAAAGCTAAGGGTGCAATCCTAAATATGTTGGGGATAAGATCCATGAAATTCAATGGGATTCATTTCTGAAGCAAGTTAATATATGCTTCATTAGTATGATGAAAACACTTTGTAAAGACAGTCTATCATTCCTGACTCTTTAGTGTTCCTTGTATAAACACAATTTATTTTCTTCCAATATTTTTGACAAATCATACATCTAGTACAATTAGTAGGATGTCATTTTTTACCTCAAAATTTTTAGAATTATTAGAATCACAAATGGTGTTAATTGATTGCTATTAATGTAACAAGGTTGAAGTCAGTAATTACTTAAAACAGAATGTGGTAGTTAGGACAGTTTATTAAAAATGTAAAATGTATATTTTTAAAAAATCAGGATGATAAATTATATTTGAAGAGTATTGTTAATAGAATTGATTGAACTACTGTAAATGGGATGAACTTCATTCTTGTAAATAAAAGATCATGTCATTATAATCGCACGACTTGCAGTAAGTTAACTATTGTTTTACTGTTTATTCTTTTCTTTTCTTTTTTACATCCCCAGCGATATTTTCTTGTTGGAAGCAACCATGCAGAAACCAAATATCGTGTTTTGAAAATCGATCGTACAGAACCCAAAGATTTAGTTGTTATTGATGACAGGGTGAGTACTTCAACATTTGAGATGTTATTATTCAAAAGAAAATATAAGAATTCAATATGATATTGCATTGGATTTAAGCTGCATTTAAGTTCTCTACCTTTTTCTTTTTATTACTTATTTTCATAACATTAATTTATCTTGTTTTACATGGGTTCCTAATAAATGAGTTAAGCAACAGTAAATAAGTTGTTTGGACAGAAAGCTTGGTTGTAAGGAGGAACAATTTCTGAATAAAAAGAATTATGGCATTGCCTTCCCTGATAGTGTTTATTCCTTTGAAAGAGCTCCTTCAGGTGAAGAAAGGTCATCTTTGGGTAAAGCTCAATTGGAAACCATGTCTTAGGTTCATTTTTTTGCTCTAAAAGGGAAATTAATGAATTTCATCTCCCGTGCAATAGTAATAAACTAGTATTTGTGCCAGGAGGGATTCTTATTTTTCCTAGATTGTGGTTCTGAGTTAATTTTACCTGAGTCGTGTTATTCAATATTATTCAAAATAAACTCCCAGTTTTTCTTAATAATCTCCTCCCCCAACGAATATTACAAAGGTGTTTGGGGGAGTGTATTTGGAACTTTGGGAGAAAATATAAAACATTTTGAATTTTAGGCAGCATTTTTCTTTTACCTTACTGTAAAGATAAAATTCTAGATTTCCTTTCCAATATTTACAGTACATATATGCTAAAAAGGAATGCTTCTTCCTTTTGTTAATTTTCACCTCTCCCCCCTTATTCCATCCATTTGTACGTGGGACTAAATATATATATATATATATATACGCACACGCACACACACACACACACACACACACACATATATATATACACACACACATATACATACATACATACATACATACATACATACATATATGGTGAATGTTATAAGACAGTGGTGGCGAACCTATAGCACGGGTGCCAGAGGCGACACTCAGAGCCCTCTCTGTGAGCACGTGTGTCGTCGCCTCAGTCCTAGGCCTTCAGCTGGGTTTTATAAAATCTTTTGGCTTTAGGCCTCCGCTGCCATGTGCAAAAAAAAGGTTCAGTCAATTTCATCTTCTCACAGGAAAAAAAAAGTTCTTGCAAAGTTGGAATTGATTGAACTTTTTAGTCCCACCCAGTCTGCCGTTACCACGGCAGCCATGCCCACCCAATTGGCCACACTCACCCAATGGGCCAGACCCACCCGGCACTCGACGATGCATAAGTGGGTTTTGGGTTGCAGTTTGGGCACTCAGTCTCTAAAAGGTTCGCCATCACTGTTATAAGACAAAGGAGCAACATAAGCAAGGGAGAAAGTAGTAATAAGACTGAAATAAAATAATCCTTAAACTGTCAATGGTAATCAAACTTGCATATATTTGTGTATGTATACACAAATATATATACACACCCACACACTTACATATAAACAAGTACATAGTGTCACATACCTGTGTCCAACATTTTTTGGGTTGATAGGCTTATTGAAATTTTGGGAGCCATTGAAATTCTCAGACAATGCCTGCCATGTGACGAAATACTTTGCTCATTCATAAAATAGTCACTATGGGCAAAATAATTAACCATGGAATATTGGTTTTTTCCAAATATTCCCTGCCACTTGCACTAGCCTACTTCTCAGGATGTTGTGTGGCATCACTGCATCCCATTATCTCTCTTCTGGCAAATCACCCTTAAAATGTCCCTTGCATTTTAATTTGTTTAACAATGCTTATCAGTCCCACTTGGGGTCAGAGGGATTCTTTGAAAAAAAGATAACGATATAAATTGGTACATTTGATTTGCGTAGAGTAGCATCCCATTAAAAATGCCACTTTAAAAAATAATAAATGTATAAAAATGATGTGAGACAAGAATCATTGAATGTCTACAACCCTGATGGAAACTTGGCTCACGGTTGACTCAGCCTTACATCCTCCGAGGTCAGTAAAATGAGCGTCCAGATTGTTGGGGGGAGCAATACATAGATTCTGTAAACCACTTAGAGAGGGCTATAAAAGCACTGTGAAGCGGTATATAAGTCTAAGTGCTATTTGCTATTATCAACCTATCTACATATAATACAGGTAGTCCTCAACATACAACCACAATTGAGCCCAAAACATCTGTTGTTAAGTGAGAGATTTGTTAAGTGAGTTTTGCCCCATTTTTCGACCTTTTCTTGCCACAGTTATTAAGTGAATCACTGCAGTTGATAAGCTAGTAACCCAGTTGTTAAGTGAATCTGGCTTCCCTATTGACTTTACTTGTGAGGAGGTCGCAAAAGGCGATCAACATGACATAAGTCACATTTTTCAGTGCCGTTGTAACTTTGAATGGTCACTAAACGAACTGTTGTAATTTGAGGACTACCTGTACTAGAAAGATTCTTGGTATTGTTATGCCTTTATTGGCAAATCATATCAAACAAAGGTAACTGCTGTCCCTGAGTGCATGCAAAATAGGTTCTTCTGCCCTAGGAAGGTGACTGAAACAGCTGTGTAGAAGTTAGCAGTGAAGTTTTTAATTCATTCAGAAATATTTAGATGACTATACATTTTCATTTTCAAGCATGTATATACGCAGCAAGAGGTGAGAGACCTACTAGGCCGTTTAGATCTGGGCAATAGGACAAAAATTGGACAAAAGGGCTCATCTGGATTATTACGTGCTGTCTCTGCTTTTGGGATAGTAGGTAAGTTACTTTATTTTTTATTAGCTTGTCTTGATAACGGCCAAGGTATTGCAATTATGATTTTGGACATAAGCACAGGTATAAAGCAAAATTCAAACAAAAGCTCTGCAAATCAGGATAGGCTAATAATTTGGAACAGTTATATGGATTTGAAATTTTTGTGGATCAGTGGCATCTTAGAAATCTCTCTTAATTTACTCTTGAAATACAATTCATAACATATTAATACTTGATTTTGTGTTTGTGTGTGCTTGTTTAAATAAATACATAAATAAAATTTTTATTTTCTTTTTAGCACAACAAATCATATGATCTCTAATATTAATGGCAAAAAACGTAGAATGTTTTTTAAGAGTTTAAAGACAGAAAAGCATCAAAGCAGATGCAAAATATTTACACTCTCAGTAAAATATAGCAGACTTTATTGTACTTAAAGGCTACTGGTGATACATAACAGTGTGTGATGAGAAAGCAAATAGATTTTTACTTTTCCTCTTGGACCCTGGTGAATTAATTGATATTGAATTATCACTTAATACATCTATAACACAATAAAAATATATTTCACATTTTAATAAAAATAGTTCCTAATATCCTTTTCATTTATGAAGAAAACATAAAGCTAAACATAAACCTTCATTTATAACAGAATCAAAAGCTAAAACTTTGACTAGAGAGTTGAGGCTGTGACCTTTATTTATGAGAAACAATGAAAAAAGATAACATTTATAGTCTAGTTAAAAAAAATAGGATTGTTTTTTATTTTTTAAAGCCTGTGCTCAGCTCTTCAGAATTAAAAGTCTCAATTCTAAAAAAAATGCCAACAACATTAGAAAAAATACTTTTCCCAAAGACAAGAATTAAGATGATAAGCTCAGAACCAGTATGGATATTAACATTTGAAATATGAACCACAGTAGTTGATAATCAACTTAGAGCTTCTTTTTCAGAATAGACATGCTCTTATGAAAGAGTTTATTGCTCAGTCCAATACTGTTTTTGAGAAGTTGGATAGTGAAAAGGTTTTACATACATACACTTATACAATGACTAATTTCTTGGGACTGATGCATGAAGTATTTATTTATGATAAAGTTAACAGTCTAACTTTCTTCAAGAGCTACAAAGTAGCACTAATTGTCAAGAACACCTAAAAAGGCTTTTTCCATATGTTCATGCCAATGTATATCTGTCTTTACTGTCACAAGTAGCATGGCCTGAAAATAACTGCTATTATAAATTAATGGCACCTTCTTCTACAGTCTGGAATGGAAGGGTAAAAGCCATGAGTACCACTTGCTTATTATTGAACTACTGATTTGTGAATTCTCACAAGAACTGCTGTCAACAAGAATGCAGATTTACTATGAAAATTTTAGTGGGGACTGGAAAAGCAGCTGTTATGCAATTACATATTGTTGCTCAAGACTCCCATAAGATACTCAATGAAATGTTTATTGTTCAGCTGGGACTGTGAAACAGAGAAATAATTGGGCATCTGACAGACCGTAATGGAAGGCCAGTAAACTGTATTGTGCTTGATGCATCATTATCTAGACAGGGATAATTTGTATTGAAAGATCAGTCTGTACCCAATTCTGCATGTATATCTTGTTTTTCTTTGTGCAATTCACCATGGCTTAGAGTGGGAATGATGAACCCTAATGTCTGTCATAACTGAAAGAAGCTGTGCTTGACACAGTAGCATGGAGAGCCTTGCTTATAAAGTCACCAAGAGTCAAACACAACTGAATGGTTAAAACAATAACAATGTCAGCTTTAATGTGGGCAAATATAGGAGTTCTCCAACGTGTACAATTACAGATTGCCCATTTTTTACTTAAAGGCGCCAATATCTCTTGTTCATTTTTTTTAAAAAAACATTATTTTTGCATGGTTTTGCATATAACACTTAAGAAATCTGAGTCAAGATGGCTTCTAAAAATATTTAAATATGAAGACCGCATCATTACATTTTCAGCAGCAGAAAAGTATAACATTAGTAATGCAGTTTTCTAGAAGTAAATAATGATACTATGACACCAATACTACAAGGTTATTTTCTTCCATAATTCTTAGGAAAACAATGCCAGGTACACTTTTAAAAAGCAGGCACAGAGACACAATGTCAGAAATAATGAAGAAAGTAATGAACTACATTTTTGCCTACTCAAGTGTGCGTAAAAACACATAATTTTTTTCCATAATAAATTTGCAATAACATAGTATTTTCTAAATATGAAACTAAAAATATTGATTATTGATTATATTTTTTAAATCTGCAGATAAGTTTTTACTTTTCCAGGTGGGGTTTACTCATGCTACATTTCGAATAATGACAACTGTGTTTCCCTGAAAATAAGACCTGGTGTCTCTCTTTTTTTGCCTCCAAAAGAGGCACCAGGTCTTATTTTTTTTGGGGGGGGGGTCTTTTGCACTCTGGCACTGACAGCCCCGGCCAGCCGGCCCGCTTCTTCTGTGGCCAAAGGAGCAGCTTCATTCTGCAGCTGAGAATGGCGCTCCGGCCTACATTTCGTAGTCAAAGGCCTTTCCGGAAGGCCACTGCAGCCGAGAACCGAGCTATGGATTCAATCCATAGCTTGGTTTTCAGCTGCAGAGGCCTTGCAGAACTGAGCTATGGATTGAATCTATAGCTCGGTACTCAGCTGCATAGGCCTTCCAGAAAGGCCTGTGACTAAGAAATGCAGGCCTGGGGATGCTGCAGAAGAAGTGGGCTGGCAAAGAGAGGCCTGGCTGCAAGGCAAGTGGTGCAGAGCGCGTGGGGCAGCTCCACCCCCCCACACCTGCCCTAGTTTGATTTTTAGGCATGTACCTCACTCCAAAACTAGGGCTTATTTTTGGGGCAGGGCTTATATTAGGCCAACCCCCCCCGAAAGTCGAGCTAGGGCTTATTTTCGGGGTAGGTCTTACTTTTGGAGAAACACGGAATTATTAACTACTAACACTTGGAAATACATGGAAGATCTTCACTACTGCAGTTCAATTGCTAGCATACCTGTGTGCTATAATTCTGGCAGCTCTTAATTACTGTATGAATCATTTTTACAAATATCATTTGTAAAAATGATCATTTTTATGTTTACAACATACAACCAGTTTAGGCAAATTTAAGGAACTGACTATTTTCAAAGATTAATATGTATTCCTTCCCTTAAACTGCTTTTATTTTTTACTTTTTAGTTGAAAGACAAAATTTAAGAGCTAGTTACTCTATGGTTAAAGTCCTTATTGATTATATGTGTATTTTTTTTCTCCCAGAACAAAATCGTCAGGTTTAGAAATAATATCAAAGGCTTTATACCTTGACCACAGTGAGAATTGTGGCCGGTATAACAGAAGCACTTTCAGCTTTCTGGGGGGAAAAAGCCTGTTTCCTCCCTGAGAAGTGTAGAAAAGTATGCTGATGTTGCAATGAAATCAGAACATGAATTTCTAATCAGACAATTCTCAAATTAATATTATTTTACATAACTGACTCTTGTGTCATTATAGGAATTTATTTTATAAGTCTTTTATTTTCTAAAAGCTAGTTTTCCTAATCATTTGTTTTTTAAAACTTATTTTACAATATTAAATCTTGTATGATGATGATAAAACTGTACTCAAATAAGCAGGGGATCGTGGTCCGAGATGAAGAACTTGTTTTTGACAGGGAGAAGTGCGAATCAGGTATTACACATCAGTCATGCAAAAAGAGCAAGGCATCCAAAAAGAGAAGCCACCTTCTGGTTGGTGATTCAATTATAAGGGATGTAAATTTAGGAAAGGACACAGAGATTTCGAAAGAGGTCAGGTGTCTTCCAGGTGCTACTGCCAGTAGGGACAAGAAGCGTATTTTTAAAATAGTCAAGAATGCCAGCTAGGACTTTGATGTGGATGCTATTGTATATCTTGGCACTAATGATCTGTCCCAAAAAGATGTACCCTCTGTGCAGAATGATTTCCAGTGCTTGGGGCAGGAACTTAGCAGGATAGGCTGTAGGCTTACCTTTTCAGAGGTTTTACCAGTGTATAAGGAGCAAAATGGAAAAGGCCAGTGTATAGCAGAATTCAATATGTGGCTAAAGAAGTGGTGTAAAAGGGAAGGCTTTGGTTATATTAGTCACGATGTCTGCAGCTGGTCCAATGAAAAAATGTACAAAAGAGATGGTTTGCATCCATCCAAAAAAGGGATTGAGTTACTTGGCAATAAATTCACAGATTTTTCTGGAGGAATATTTAAACTAAACAATGGGGACAGTGAGTTAATTGATACAGAACATCCCTGTCCCTGGCAATCTAAAAATTATAGGGTTATCAGTGCATGTAACATAGATGTGTGTGTGGACAAGAATATCTTGCTGTCAAGCAAAGCTTTTAGTAACGAGTGCCACACAAACTGAACTAACCAAACAGGTGGTAAGAAAATAGGGAAACTCAGGCACCACACAGGTTATGTAGAAAGTGAACACAGGGTCAGTCATAAAAGACTCAAATGTCTATACACCAATGCACAGAGTATGAACAGTAAACAGGGTGAACTAGAAATTCAGGTTAATGAGGGCAGATATGATATTGTTGCCATTATGGAAACATGGTGGGATGAAACCCACAAATGGAACACACAGCTAGAGGGATTTAAATTATTTAAAAGAAACAGACCAAATAAAAGAGGAGGTGGAGTTGCTCTCTATATAAAAATAACTACATCTCTACAGAAATAAAGCACAACAAAGATGAAAACTGTCTTGAATGCATGTGGGTCAATATAAAAGGGGGGGAAATGACATTGCCGTAAGTGTATACTATAGGCCACCAAAACAAACAGAGGAAATAGATGAACTTTTGCTAGTCAGCTAACTAAAGTATGTAGGAAGCACATCACAATAGTAATGGGGGATTTTAATTACCCTGACATAACTGGGAGACAAACTCAGCACCGAGTGGAAGATCAAACAAGTTCCTGACAAACCTAGCAGACAACTGTGCCTCCCAAAAAG